TCCTTAAGTAGGTGATCTGATAGTTGACTTTGTACCACTTTTTCCATTATGCGCGAAATAATTGGGGTGATATTTATAGGTCTGTAGTTTCCGACCAGGTTTCTCGGTCCTGATTTGTGTTTGGGAAGAACATACGTTACCTTCCAGGCTTCAGGATATGTACCCGCCTCTAAAGATAGTGTGTATATTTTAAGCAACAACGTATGTATATCCGGTCCTGACATTTTATAGAGAATTGATGGTATATCATCAGCACTAGAGCTCGCATTCGGCTTAAGGGTTTTGATGGCTGTATGTATACTCCTAATGTCAAAGTTTATTGTGCTAATATAGCTTTTCCTTATGCATTTTATGTTAACATCTGGGGCATTAGATGTATTCTCGTTTTGTGAAAACCATTCACTTAGCAGTTCGCATATGACGGTTTGGTCATAGTACATCACTCCATCGTGCAGTAAAGAGTGAATGTTGTGATCTTCGTTTTTTCTCATGCGTTTTGCAAGGAGCCGACATAAGTATAATCGACAGCTCTGAAAACACGGATTAGATAGATGGGAGAAGGTAAGGAAAATTTGCTTTGCGTCACGTCTACAAGTAGAAATCGTCTAGTCGTGCTGAAACATTGTCGACGTAATGTCTTGAATACGTTGCACGAGCTTCCTCATCCATGTGTTCGGGCTCATAGCAGAGCGATTTTGCTGTTCTGGTATGAATAAAAATGTGGAGGAGTGGGCACGCTTCTGCCTAAGCTGCCAGAAATCTAAGGTGACTAAACAAAACAAGTGTCCTTCGGGCTCATTCACAACTCCCAACGCTTGTTTTGACCACGTCCATCTGGATTTGGTAGGATCCTTACCAGATTCAAATGAATGCTCTAATGTCTTAACTTGTGCAGACCGTTTCATATGATGGTCAGAAGCAGTATCCATTAAGAATATTACTGCTGAAGCAGTGGCCCGCGCCTTCAGTGGGTAGCAAAATTAGGCTGCCCTTGAACTATCTTCGATAATTACAAGTGTTTGAATTACAGTACAAACTGGGAATTCCCAATATTGTCCAATCTAAGTAGGCAGGACTAGGTGAGCACTAACTAACGTATTGATAATAATATATTCTCAAATAACAGTTTGTTACATGAGGCATGCCGGTTTACAGACAAGATCAAATTGTTAAAGAAGTTACAATTTTCACTGTAGAAAATTACTCAGCTGGGTTGATATTTTATAAGATATGAATGTAAATAGATTTCGTAAGAAACATGTCAATATCACGCTTGGCACACTTTATGAAGGTGAGTAAGCTCGAAGGACAGAATCACTTTTAAGAAACTTTGGCGGACTTCCTAAGCATAACTCTTAGACAATAAAACGGGAAAAGTACTGGAGGGCACCCACAAGTGAAAGTAGTTCTGTAAGGTATTTTAGAGATGGTGCATTTGTCAGTGGAGTTAGTCATTTCCTGCCTGGTCTAAAACCGTTACCGTCAACTAGGTATTCAAGACATTCAAAACTAGATGAACAAAATGAACACCTATTGGGATTCACCGTAAAATTCTTCCCAATTAAACGACTCAATAAAGCAATAAGTCTCTGTTCATGAACTATCTTATTAGAATCATGAACAATGAGATCATCTTGATAAACTTCAAGATCACTGACTACCTTATTCATAACTTCCTGAAATATGGCTACAGAACGACTTAGACCAAATGAAAGGAAGTTGTATTTGATCAGAACAAAAGGAGTGTTAATTGTTTTCAAAGTAGATGAAAATTGTTCTCAAGGGATTTGAAGAAAAGAATCTTTTAAGTCAACTTTCGAAAACACTTCAGAACCATGAAGTCGATTTGGAATATCTTCAACAACCATGTCGTAACAATAAAAGTACCCTATGACGAGGACTGAATGGGTTCAATTATATTTTTCGCACACAAATCGTTCAATGTATTGTGTAGTGTTTCTCGAAGACCATAAGGAATTATTCGTCTTTTAAGAAAGGTTTTATAGGCTGAATTTTCATACTTCCACTGCACTTAGCACATTCAGCTATCAAATATTTACGTAAAACATAATAATTTTCTTAGGAAACTAGTAAAGACAATTCTACTTTGAGTCTTTTCCAATATTTTAAACCCAGTATTGACAGTGCTGTTTCGCTAACTAAAAATCCACAAGGCATGTATGAAAAATTATCATCTCTTATTAGCAATCCACGGCATCCCTGTATGGACAGTCTGTGTCCATTAGTCCCAAATATTGAGACTTCAGTGGGTCTGACCACAACATTAGGATCTAAAGATTTCAAGCTCTTGAATAAAACAATGGACTATATACTACCTGTGTCTACAACGTAGGTTTGGTCGACCCTGAGCTTGTATTTTATCATGAGGACTGAGCAAAGCATTAGAAATTTTCATCGATTGGATATCAAGATCATTCATTAGCATATTAAATAAAAAATTTTTATGATACAAGATGCAAAGGGAATTCGAGGTAAAGTTTGTGTCCTGCGTGCAATAGTCGTTTAAATGTTCTGAAAATCTTACTCTTCTTCCAGAACGTGTTGTTTTATGTTTTATGCATTAAATGCTCTAGCGCCTGCAAGTGTACAGCATAATTAATAACGCCAGTAATTAATTACGCCAGCTTGAATCTGTGCTTTTCCGTTGTTTGACCACACTATTAGTAATAACACGATTCCAAACGACTGCCTACCACTCACTGTCAAACAGGTCGGTAGAACGCTTTCACCGACAGCTAAGTGCTTCACACTCAGCTGAAAACTTTCCACAGTTGTTTGAAGCTATTTCACTCGTTTTTCTTTGTTTCAACACTGCAGTGAAGCTGACACTGGATACACTTCAGCACAACTCATTAACGTGACGACACTGTGACTTCCAGTATAATTCGTGGATCCTTCATTCTCTTCAACGATTATGTGCCTAAACTCTTACACGAGCAAGCTTACGAACGCCATGAGTTCAATCAAGCCCGTTTCCACTCGACTTCAGTCAACTGATGTTTTCGTTCAACCTGCATACATAGTACACACGTTTTTGTACGTTGCGACTTATCACAACGACTTCTTGAAATGGTATACGAAGGACCTTTCAAAGCCCTTCATCGTAAACTTAAGTATTGTGTCATTGCTAAAAACGGGATGAACGATGACGTCAGAGTTGACAGTCTTTAAGCTGCGTATTTAGAAGGAAACCCTGATAATACTTATTTTTTCCCGTACACTCAAATGACACAATACCCCACCCGATAATCAATAACCATGAAGAAACTCTGGTGACATCTGACAACAGGCCTAGACAACAGGTTGTGAAAGAAGGGTAGGGTTATTGGGACACTTTAAGGATCACTATGAGTAGGACACAGCATAACATTTTGTTTCATTTCGTTTGTTTGTACTGTTATTTAAAAAACCCAAAGGGAAACTGTGATATTTAGGAGTATTTGAATTATAGTACGAAAAAGAAGTCCCAGAAATAACGCAGCTTAATCAATAAGTACTAGATGAGCACGGACGAATGTATTGTATCCGGAATTTGAAACCAAGCGGTCATTAAGTAAAAAGAAATCATTGGTTCATATAAACACCACAGAAACATTATTTTTTCTAAAAAAATCCGAAAAAGTCATTTTGAAAAAATTGACCCCTTATATTAACAAAAGATGACCAGATTCTGTTGAATATAGCATGTTTTCAGAGGAGTGTTTACCAACTACAAGCTAGTTGGGTTTAAACTTCTGACTGACCACGTCTTAGGGTTATCACTACTCGACGGTGAGGGGGGTAGTGAGCTGTAGCGATAAATGAATCCCAAAAACAAGTAGTTCTGTAAGTTTTCGACGTTCATAATGACCTCAGTGGATTTACTTAGCACATCTAGCTGAGGGCGCTTGGTCGTGCATCCTCAATAGATCACGAGTGGGTACACTATGATGCGCATCCTTGGCCATCTTAGATAAAATACTTCTCGGAATATCGATAGCCTTCCAAATGTATCTTCGAACCTCTTCATTTCTGACTTCTGATTTGACTAAGTGGGTGTTATTATTTTTATTATTTCTAGTGACTTTATTCAATATTCCATTTTTGGCACAATATAGAACTCCCAACAAAAAGTATTTTAACACGTTTTCTATTCTTAGTTCTTAATCAATCCTGACGATAAATATTGGGTGGTCGCGGATTAAATGTTAGAAGTTCGGGAATCGATATCTGGATTATGTTTATTGTCTTCAATGCATACTGTCAACCACCACGATGTCTCAGATTGTACATTTTGTAACTTGTAAGGCGAAAGGTAGCAAGCTCATCATAAATACGCCTGAGTAGTTTATGCGACTAAGGGACATAATAATGTATTGAGACAAACAAAAACAAACAATTTGTTCAAATATCTAGATGGCAGGAACAGTCAACTCAGATATTCGAGCAGGCCGCTAGTTACGTGTAAATGCGTTGTCAAAATCCAAATACGTGTGACATCTCTAACTCCACCGACCCTACATGAAACTCAATCAGTAGTTCCTTCGTTTGAAAAATAACGTTTAATGTGAGCCTGTTAGTCAGACTGCAAGAAGCCCCAACACTTGCGGTTTCGTTCGCAGATTTCCTGGCTGATAAATAATTTTTTAATAAAGGAAAATTTGAGAGTACAAAACCTTTATCGAACAATCGAAGGATGAAAGTCTTAAAAACGATGATAACGTTACTCAATAATTGCCATACTACTGAAACACTAGTGAAAATTTAAAACTATTCGACAAACATGGTGAATTTGAGGTAGAAGTAATTACTTATAGCACTCTGGTGCCGAAATCCGAAACTTCGCATTTCGAAATGTCCAGTTTATGAGGATGTGCAAATTAAGAAGAAAAGCGAGAACAAATGTAACGTTTGGTCATCATTCAAAGTATCTGTATCTTTTTTAAATCTGGTCTACTCTACAAGGACGTAATGGTGAGCGGGTTTCGAATTCCTCACCAATGAGGTGTTGTGTTTGCAGTTTGGAGTTCCAAAATCCATCCAATTCTCTGATTTTCTGTGGCAACTGCAATACAATTGTACATCAGGGATGTTATGGCGTACAAAAACTAACTGGTGTTAATAACTGGTTTTGTAGGAAATGCGAGTCGCAAGTTCGCATGAGCAAAATCGTAAGACACAGTTATATGTAAACTTATTAATAGCGCTGTGATTTATGCCCAATTAAGGATGGTGCATTTAAACGCAGCAACGGCGTTCGGTGTGGTAAGATTTGGCTTCATTCAGGATGTATTCCAAGATAGGTTGGGCCCATATCGTCTGCGCAATATACATACCTGAAGTATTTTTCACTGATCTTAGCACCATGGAGCTTATATCAGTTGAAAACGTAATTCCTGATAGGCTTGGTCGGGTAAGTAACATTACAAGCGTTTATACATTGACCTAATTTTCAGTTTTCTTGTGGAATCAAACCTGCTTAGCTGTTTAATCATATTAATAAAAAAAACGAACTTGCAAAGTTCGTAAAATGTTCGCTTCTGTGGTGATAAACATGGGTTATTTGTCATGTGGGAATTCGGTGTACAATTTTTTCGTATGTAGTATCATATTCTAGTTGTTAATTAGTGAGTCTTATTGGAAATCCAGATCTGAATCACCCAAAGTATTTCTTAATATGACGATCCATAAGTAATTGATTTTTTCTGTAAAGTCATTGAAATCCAAGCTTGAGATGTAATAACTGTCCTGAAAACTGTCACATCACTTGTAGTCAACAAAAAGAATAGTAGCGAAAACTAAGAAAACTAAATTAACCCAGTATTTATATACGGCAAAAGTCCAACGTAATGACGACCTTGATTAAACTAATCGGAATCAGAAGTGTCCCTTTATATCTATATTTATGTGAACAAGTGTTGGCATGCATATTTGTTACCATTTAGTTACTAATTATCTAACCCCACTTTCTATCCCAGAAATGTTATGTACTCGCTATGAAAAGAAATTAGCGTATTCATTCCATTTATTTTCAGCAACAGTAAGTATGAATGGATTGCAAGCCAAAGTTTCTGAGGGTTTGTGTTGCTATTCGGTTATTCAAACTTTAAAGTAAAACATAATTTGGTAAACTGTTGTTCCAATGTCTTCCCAACAGTCAATTCTAACAAAATTAGCCATTTGGTATGTTCATGAATAAAGAATTGCATTGTTTTGTTCCTTAAGACATAACATGTATTGTTTCAAGTAAAATTAGAGCATATTTATCAGAATAACGAGGATAGCTTCAAGATAGGGAATACTGTAGACCGGGGACGAAATTTGTTAAATTAACAGATCAACACAACTAGTTCGTAATAACTAGCCAAAATTTCTTGCACTTCAGAATTCTTAAAGTCAAAGATTTTATTTGTACGTTAATCATAAAATCGTCCACAGTAAGGTAGTACTATTAAGATCTCTGAATGTTTATACTTTAACGAAATGAATGTGTAGCCGATGATTTGTCATATCGCAACCATCACAATCGTTTCGGATTCACTTTCTTAAACTAATTTCTCTGCTCGAAACCGTGAGTGTTATCTCAATTTTGCCATTATTTTCAAATGTTTATGGGTTTATAACCAACCACACTACAATCACGGACAATATAAATATCATTGGTTAGGTGTTTCCGACAGGATACATTTTAAATAACTACTTAATCTCTATGGATACTGTTCATAGTTGATAGTTGTTGAAATTTCCTTCTAAATTTTATATTTTACAGTCGTGTATATTTTGTGAAAGAAACCAACGCAGCTCTCTAGCGAACTATGGTGCTTGTATCCAATGTGCATGGAAAAATTGCCGTTTACACTTTCATGTTTCTTGGTAAGCTTAAATTCTGTTTCTTTTGGGATTTTCGTTATTCCTCTTTTTTGTGCTGTCAGTTAGACTATTCTATGGAAGCTACTCGTTAATCCACTTATGTTTTACCAGTTTTGAATGATCACATCCTTTTGGGTACTTTTCTGAAATCTAGTCCTCTTATTTATCAATGACTATGATAGTTTGAATCTCTCTTAATGCATGCCTATAATGTTACTACATAAAATGTTGGAATAATAGTTTCTTTTTTGGTTTGACTTTAAAGCAGTAAACCTCTTAGAGTTCAACTTAATAATGAGAAAGTTGAGAATATCTTTCAGGGACAACTAGAGAAAGAGATCAGTCAGTCAGCTACAACGTAGGACCAGGCACATTTATGCATCGGTCCAAGTTGCCATACCTCGTTAGCACAACAAGATGAACACCGGATTCATAGAAGTAATTAATTTACTGGTGGTAGTAGTATATAAATTATAGGTTGTATATAAGGATATAGTATAGGAAGGAAGAGAGATATGAAGCAATTTTAGTCTCAAGGTTTAAAGGAAGATAAAGAGTGTATACACCTGTGTCATTGTGATCGATTCTGAGCCATGTCACCTAGTCTCCAACCACTGGTTACGATAGTCACGCGGACCCCAACCAGGTAGTCTGCATCTGCCAACATGGCTCAGACTAGAAGTTAGTGACTTCAAACACTGATGCCATGTTTTGGTTTGGCCGCCCCTAACTTTCTTCCAACAATCTCCAGTACTAGTCATCATAGCGCGTCGTGGTAATCGGTGTTCAGGCATACGTAACACATGGCCCAACCATCTCAGTCGATGAAGATGAAGAGAAAGAGATAATCAACTGTGAAAATGATACCTCAAGGTAGCTTTGTGTAGTATCCAGAAAGCTGCGAGGACAGCAGTGATATCTACTAGTAACTTAAACCAAAAGGTTAGGAAAAATCAATGGATTTCGGCTGTCTACTGAACTGATAGTTGCTCGGAAACTCACCCCGTCTGACTCCAAACACGGTGAGGAGCGGATGCAGCTTAAACGTAGATTGATAAAAAGCCTACGTAATGATCATGAGGAATGGTGCGTAGCAGGAGCAGAAAAATGGAAAAGGCAGTAGTGATAGATAACAGTATACAACTGTTCATACTTATCAAGGTGACAGGTATTAAGAACCTAGGTGTTAGCGAAACTATCTCGGTAAAGGATGAGGATATTATTCACTCACAATCCAGCAGATTGAACTAATGGACAGATTACATGAGTAGCAGGCCTATTATAACAAATTAAGTCTTAGTGTAGCTCTGTGATGTAAGTCCTCTAACTGTCAGTGAGGTTGAAAAGGCTATAAGTAATCTAAAACGATGGAGAGCATCAGATAGTTTTTCTTGACTTGAAAGCAGCATTTGACTCTGTAGACCGAGAGGTTCTGTGGCAGTGTCTGTCATTGAAAGGTGTACCTGAGAAGTACATAAACCTTGTGAAGGCTCTTTACTCGAACACTACCAGTCGAGTGAGAGCTTATGGCGAACTGTCATCTGATTTTACAACCTCAAGTGGTGTCCGTCAAGACTGTCCACTATCCCCATTTTTGTTTAACTTCATTATAGACCTGTTGCTGGAAATAACACTCTCTTCGACTGAATTTACAGGAATTGATCTCCTACCAGGGGGACCACTAAGCGACTTAGAATACGCAGATGACATAGTCCTGTTTGGTGAAGACGCTGGCAAAATGCAGAGTCTTCTGTTGGAACTCATTAATAATGCCAGGATGTTTGGGATGCGATTCTCCCCATCCAAATGTAAATTGTTACTCCAGGACTGGCCTGCGTCAACACCTGAACTAAGGATAGGAAGTGAAGTAGTCGAACGCGTTGACAACTTCACTTATCTTGGAAGTCTGATCAGCCCTAATGGGTTGGTGTCTGACGAAATCTCAGCACGGATTCGAAAAGCTCGTTTGGCTTTTGCCAACTTACGTCACCTATGGCGAAGACGAGATATCCGTCTATCAATTAAAGGACGAGTATACTGCGCATCAGTTCGCTCTGTTCTACTTTACGGTTGTGAAACATGGCCATTAAGAGTAGAAGATACTCGTAGGTTACTAGTATTTGACCACAGATGCCTTAGAAATATTGCACACATCTGCTGGGATCACCGGGTAAGTAATAGTGAGGTTAGACGCAGGGTATTAGGGAACGATGGTAAATCAGTTGATGAGGTGATGAATCTTCATCGACTGAGATGGTTGGGCCATGTGTTACGTATGCCTGAACACCGATTACCACGACGCGCTATGCTGACTAGTGTAGGGGATGGTTGGAAGAGAGTTAGGGGCGGCCAAACCAAAACATGGCATCAGTGTTTGAAGTCACTAACTTCTAGTCTGAGCCATGTTGGCAGATGCAGACTACCTGGTTGGGGTCCGCGTGACTATCGTAACCAATGGTTGGAGACTCTAGGTGACATGGCTCAGAATCGATCACAATGGCGTAGGTGTATACACTCTTTATCTTCCTTTAAACCTTGAGACTAAAATTGCTTCATATCTCTCTTCCTTCCTATACTATATCCTTATATACAACCTATAATTTATATACTACTACCACCAGTAAATTAATTACTTCTATGAATCCGGTGTTCATCTTGTTGTGCTAACGAGGTATGGCAACTTGGACCGATGCATAAATGTGCCTGGTCCTACGTTGTAGCTGACTGACTGACTGAGAGCATCAGAGCTTAATGGTCCAGTTTTAGCAGTTAGGTCAACTAGGATTTTAGCTAGAATCTGGGAACTGGACGTAATCTTATCTGACTGGTCCCAGTCTATAAGAAAGGACAAAAATCCCCTTGCGATAAACACAAAGGAACCAGTTTGGCTAACATCGTGTCTAAAATATTAACCTCAATAATACTTCGATGTTTAACTAGGGTTTGTGAAAAGCAAACCCAAGAAGACCAATCTGGTTTCAGACTTCGATGTGGATGCATAGACCAAATATTTACCCTTTGGTAGATTCTGGAACATAAACATACTTCTCAACGTCCGACTCCGTTGACCGTGAGGTTCTGTGGCAGTCTGTCGTTTAGAGGCGTCCCAAAGAAGTAGATTAACCTTGTACAGGCTTTCTACTCGAATACTGCTGGTCGAGTCAGAGGTAATAGTGAACTGTTATCAGAATTGGTTGCTTCAAGTGGTACTAGGTAAGGATGAAAAATGGACTGATGAGGTATTAAATCTCCACCAACTGAGGTGGTTGGGACGTGTTACGTATTTCCAACTACTGTCTACCTCTACGATCGACGTTTTCGGGTGTACGAGTGGTCTGGAAGAACAAAACAAAACATGGGATCAGTCAATGAAGTGATTAATAATTGGACTGAGCAATGTTAACAAGTGTAGCATAGACTAGCGTCTGGTCGGAGTCCACGTGATTATCATAACTAATGGTTATGGACTTTAAATGGCATTAGTGGAAATTGTTTGGAATGACCCAGATGTATCGGTTGTTTGTCTTCCGCCATATTCGGAGATTCCCTATTCGTCATAATCTTTTTTGTTTTTATATCACTCATATATATTTTCTCGAATCTTATCTTCAATGTGTAATCTTTTGTAGTAGCAGTGAATCTGTTACTGCCTTTATTAGTGTGAGATTTGGCCTTACAATTTCATATATGTGTTAATAGTATGTGGTGACTTGAACTGATGTAGAAACGTACCATGTTCTACTTTGTGCTAAGCTGGTTGTCTAACGTTTAAGTTTTAACTATGGTTCTGGGAGTTCATACTTATAACTAAACTTATTTTCCATCTCTAGTTTCGTTATCCCCGATGTTCAAAATATATGAACGTATTCTCTAACGAGTTTTGTGTTATGGGGGTTATTGGCTTGATAATAGGACGTATATTTGCTGTTGACTACACAAGGGAACTTTGAAAATGTCATAACTTGTAACTCACTTGATAAGCACTTTTCATGTAGATGAATTGATATTTGTCGAACTGCTTTTCTTCAGGTATGTTTGTCCCAAAATCTTTGGTAACGAAAATGATGGGTATATATACCGTAATGTCACGAACATTTGATTGGTAAATATATCTTAATTGAACACAACCAATCATATGAAGTCGAAGTATTTCTGTTTGTCAGGTTCGGTCAATAAGAGTTGGGTGATTAATTTCCACTGTTTCTTCCTCTAATATTAGTTTATATTAATTGTTGCTCTAATTGTTAGAAGGGGCACCAGCCTCGGGAATACCTATCTGGAGTTTGATCATGCCCTGGTCTGCGCCAATCTTACCTTACTTTTCAGTGGCCGAAGGATTGACCACCACCAACCGATCGATGTTAGTAAACTGGCTGCAACATCTGTTGCAAGCAAGTATCAAGCGGAGCTAGCTTCTAGGCTAGCTACCATCCCACCGAAAAGTATAGATGAGCATTGGTTGCATCTTCACGACGCCATGAAAATGGCGAGTAAAGCCGCTTACGGCTTCGCGAAACGTCCGTCTTACAAGCACTGGGTTTCTTCTGGCTCCTTACAACTGATGGAAGCCCATCGGTCTACTCCGGGTGACCGTGAGTTTGACCACAAACGAAGGCTGTTATGTAATGAAATTGGGCAAAGCTTGCGTAAGGACCGAGAAGCCTGGTGGTCGGAGCGTGCTAATGAGATGGAAGCAACAGCTGCATCGGGTAACTGCCGGAAGTTCTTTCAACTCATCCGAGCCACTGGCAGCAAGAAGTCTGGTGTGAGTGAAACAATCTACGAGGATGACGGGATGCCAGTCACTAACATCTCTCGACGTCTTGGACGATGGGCGGAATTTTTCGAAGGGCAGTTCAACTGGCCTGCTGCTCCGGCAACATCAACCAGTTTGTCCTGCCCCCCATGGCCGGTGACGACTGATCCACCAAACGAGGCGGAAGTCCGCAAGGAACTCCAACTCTTGAAGCGCTACAAATCACCGGGCCCAGTTGACTTACCTC